AAGGCGCTTTTTACCGTAATTGTTCTGGCTGTGGTGTTTACACGATATTGCGCAATAGCCAGTGTTTATGTAAGGTCTGTTTACCTGTGCTTGTCAATGTTTTAATGTCTGAGTTATTCCTTGATTGTGTGTGAGGACGATTGTAGTTGTGAATGTACAGCCACTGTACAGCAATGTGCTGAGCAAAGAGATTAAGATTTTTCACTCAACCATTTATCTTCGCCTGCAGTCACCATTCTCTCACTGACTATTGATCACTCACACTCGTGGTGCACACGCACACGAACACACACAAAAACACATTTAAAGCATACACAATTGTACTATAGACACAGCATGACATCTGACAGTCTATCATGCAGAAAAACTGCTTATTCTCAATCTCATTATGACATTTATAAAAATAATCCCACAAATCACTGTTAGATGCATCACTTTCAGTTTATATACTGAGATGGAGTCGGTGAATTGGAAAGAATATTTGCACCTTTATTAAGTATAAAAATTAGTTTTTTGATTCTACCTGAAGGAAACCTTAACAGTGTAAGTTTTTCAGACTGCAAAATTTTTGCACAAAGTTTACCAAAGCACTCACAGGGCGTAAATTATATTAGGAGCAAAGATGTAAGCGTTTTCCTAATAGCATCAAGATCACTTGATAAAACAGCACTTTACTTACATCTATTGACATTTTGTATTGCCTGCAGCCATTGCAGATGTTTTTCAATTCATGGCCACAACGGGTTTCAAGCTGCCGGTTGCAGGAGATGACCTTGGATGTGCCGGACCACTGAGCCAACTCCCTGTTGTTGAATTGACTGGAATAATGAGTTAGACTGAATGACTTCCCCATCATAGAAAAGCACCACAGACCCAGTAACTTCGCTCTCCTCTTTTTGTACAAATTGTGCACTTGTACTACAATCATTAGCAGTCTATATTTTACCCATGGGAGCCATGTAAAGCAGGGTAGCTGCAGAAAGGGCCCTATTAAACAAATATGCACTCCAAATGCACTGTTGCAGCTGACTGGGAATGTTTGCAACGACGTAGCCTCTAAACCTTTGATTAGATGCACAGGGTTGACGGTGCTAAGTTACTCCTGCTCCTCTTGCTCGTGTCTTTACAATCTCTTTGGCAGGCTTGTATCTTGCTTGTGATCTTTCCCCTTCATGGTGTATTATGACCGACAGTGCAGCCGAGCTTGTTTAGGGAGTGATTATTCCTTTCAAACTGGTGCCCGGTTTATCTCCCCCTTGCATTCCTCCTAATTATGTGCACATACTGTATACACCATTTGCAGAATTAGTGCTAATGAGGCCACTAAATGTATAGTAAAGTGGTAAGCATGACATAAACACAAATAATTAAGATCATTACTAGCTTACTCTCTGGAGGGGGAAGGCATGTCTGTTTTCCATAACCTCTATGTAATCATTACTGCACAAAGAAACAGAGAGACAATGTGTTTAAAAACTAGGTTAGCCTGAGCATGTTTGTATGTGCGTTTGTGGCATTGATGATCTGGTGGTAACACACACAAAATAATATTATATTGAAAATGTAACATACTTTTTTGTGTATTAGACTGTTTTTGATCATTACGGTCTAGAAATGAATATGAATCTAGGCTGGTACTTTGTTGCAATATTGAACTGCCAGACTGATGGGTGGTTAGGGAGACGTCTTTTTTTTTTTGCCACAGTAGTGGCAATTTCCAGCGATGGCGATCCAGACTGAAATATCTAAAATCTGTACACACATTCATGGTCCCCAGGATAAATCCTAATGAATTTGTTGTTCCCCTAACTTTTGTGGTTGACAATGACATATTTCAAAAACGACTGTAAGGATTTCCATGACATTAGGTACAAATATTCAAGCTCCTCTGAGTATGAACTTTGTTGTTGCCCTGACTTTCATCGACCTAGCACCACCTGCAAATATAACTCCTATCGAGTGAAATATCTGCACATCTACTTGTTGGATTGTCACAAAATTTGGTATGGACATTTATGACTTCCAGCTAATGAATTGAGAGTTTTAATTTTGATGACCCACTGACTTTTCTTCTTGGACCACCAGCAGGTCAACATTTTTGGTTCCTGAGTAAAATGTCAGCTATTCTTTTGAAATCTGGTTGATCCACCAAACACGATTTGTTATAACTTTGGTGATTCAGTGAAGTTTCTTTTAGTACCGACATCAGATGAAAATTTGAATGCGTCCAATACTTTGACCTAATACCAAATATACGCATTTCACTCAAAGCACTGCCTCACATATCTGCTAGCATGGATGTAGAGTCTTCAGCTTCTTAAGGGGCCGATCACACAGAGACGCATCACTCCAGGCACGGCCACTTCAAAAATGCCATGGCAAAGAGTGTTAGGAAAAAAACAGCTGAGGCGCCTGTGGAGCGAGGCAGCGTGCATTACGTAGTGTGCACGAAAATATTAAGAGCAAAAATGTATTGAAGAAGACGTCGAGCTCTAGATGAGTAAACTCTAGCTTCCTTTCAAAGAGGTGGATAACTGAGGTTACTTAGGTTTATCCCCTGTATCCCGTAACTCTCTCACAGTCAATCAGCTAGATAGCTAACCTATTTACTGGCATAGTAAATGTCATCAAAACAGGAACGAAGTGGTGAAGTAGTTAAGCCCACCTCTTGCTTAATTTAATTGGCTGTCTGAGAAAAGTGTGACATTGATGGGTGGCTCAACTCCGCACCTTGCAATGAAAAGTAGAAAATATTTAAACTGCTCAGTGCTATAGGAAAACAGTGGTTTTGCAGGTGATGTGTTCTAGTGATGCATCTCTGCCACTAAGACTTCAGTTGCGTACTCTGGCATGAATTTTACCTGGAATTTTCATAATTAGCAGGGTTTTTTTTACTAATGTGACTGAAATGATGCGATTCTAATTTGTCAATATAAATATAACATGTCCATATTGATATAACCCTTGACAGTACACTTTTACAGTTTTACATAGTGCTACCATCCATGGGTGAAACAGTGGGGGATAAAAGGGAACAATATTGTGTGATGTAATTAAGTTGATTTTATATATTTAACCAGACAGCTTTGGAAAAGGCAAAAGGATTTCTGATGGATGCAGAGTTGTGACTGAAATGTAATAACATAAGAAATTAAGCCTGAAAATAAGAGAGCAAGCGTGGTTGAAGAGATTTGAGACCGAGACGTAGACTTTTTATTTTTACACTGTTCCCTCTTAAGCAGCATCACAGGAAGGAGGGAAGCGTAGGGAAAAGAGCCTGTGGCAGTGGTGGAATATCTAAAGGGGGAGTTGAGGAGAGCTGGCTTCCTCCCAGCTGTGTAACATCACACACTACCTTATGCAATTATACTTTACATACACTTTATACATTCTTCCCTTTGAAAAAAGACAATAAGTGGCTTTTTAAGATACTTTGAAATTAAATAAGCAAGTAATTAGATATGATGAAGAAAAAAAACAAGGAATAAGTGTTGTCTTTGCTTAATTTAAAGACTAATTGACATTGCAGAAAAGAATAATTATTAGAGATTCTTTAGGAATGAGATTACAAATTTTAGCGATCCAAAAAAAACTAGTGTTTGTAGAGGTAAAGGAGGATATAATAGCCAGAGAGCCCAAAGGACAAAATACTGCGAATGACTGACAGCGAGAGTGAGAGAGAGAATGCAAACAGTATTTCATCATGAAAGCCTTATTTCAATAAAACTCTTCAAACATCGGCCCGTCCATCATAGTTCCAGCAGACTTTCTTCTCTCTCTCTATGGTCTCTCTTTGCGTGTCAATCTCTCTTGTTTGAAAATCGTGTCCAAAATGATGCTGTCATTAACAAACACCATTCTCCTCTCCCCTTCTCTCCTCTCCCCCTTCTACATTACTTTCCTCCTCCATATCTCCTGGCTTAAACCCCTCCCCTCCCCTCCCCAAGACTTCCTATCTTTACTCTCTAAACTTTTGACATTCTCCCCTTTCTACCTCTTCTCCTGACTTTCCCTCCTGTCCTGCTTTTGAACTGTGAATCTGCCACCATAACTGCCACTAAGGCCACATCTAAAGATACTCACACACGCTGAGAGCAGGAAGAGGCACACACAAACACCTCTGTTTTCAAGCTCGCACATTTCCAGCAGACATAATTACCTTATGCAAATAAGAACAAATAAACCATCTCATCCTGCTGGGCGACAGCATATAAGATGCCAAAAACCAAATTCAGGAGCTCATTTAATTAGAAAAGGGGTGATGAGAGAGATACAACATTCACCTACCGCTCCCTGCTCATGACACACTCAGTCATAAATGTGTATCCACTGTTGAGTTCCCCATAGGCCTGAATCACGGTAGCAATTATGGCGCCTGGTACATTTACCCACATTTTCTTGGCATGTAGGAAAAAAGGTCCATATTGAATTGCTTGATTCAACTCAGGTGCAGCAGTCAATCTCTTCCTGGGAGCAAAATTATAGAAGTAAAGCCAGGGTAGTTAATCTGCTCCTGCCTTTTTCTACCGGTTTTTGAAAATGACAGCCATTTTTGAAAATAGCCTCATTAGTTCGTCACGGCGAAGCAGCAGAGGACCTGTGAAGTTAGATACCAGGCATTGCAGGGTGTTTGAAGCTCAGTGTGTCACATAGTTTAAAGATAAGCCTTAAGGGCAGTTCGAATTTGGTTACACCTGGCTTAAACAGTGTAGCGCATCTCCCATATCGCACTATGGGTAAGCACTGCATTTGGAAGCAAATAGGTGCAAAAGATAAGAAGGGTAAAGAAAAAGAGGGTGTCTGTCAAGTAAGATTCTGTTGTTCTCTATGATGGAAATTATTTACAGATGTAACATGAAAGCCACAATATAGTCAACACAAAATACTACCAAAAACCTTTGATAACTGCATATTCCAGTAGACACTATGTGCTATTCTCAGGATTACCAAAGCAGCAGCTGTCTGTGTGTAAACATGAGAATTATTCCCCTTTTTTATAGGCTGACCCAAAGGATCTGATTCGATTGGTCACACAGCATGTGTCTGCATATTCCAATTGGCCAGAGGAGCTGCAGCAGTTGATCAACCAGCTGCATGCGTACAACGAGCGTTTGACGGACTTCACCCAGGCCCAGGTGTTACAGGGGCTCGGCCGTGGAGTGGACGTCCAGCGCTTCAGCTCAGACTCCAACTACAAGAAGGAGACCATCCTTGGCCTCACAGAGTAAGTAGGGAGGGAACTTAAAGGAATATACAGTCCATACACTGTTTCCTGTCTGCTGGAAATGTTGTTAGAAACAGTCATTCATATAATGGGTTTGTGATGTAGTCTGTAAGGTGTGTGCATTTATTTGATCTGCATTCTTTTATACCGCATATGGGTGGGAGGGCTGGCTCTTTCCGCTTCAGTACGATTGAATTGATTATTATTTTCCTCCTCTCTGCATGTGTATCTGCGTGTGTTTAGGACACTGGATGACGGCGTGTACAGAATCGCTCTGTCGCTGGCTAAGCGCTACAGTGTTCCTCTGTGGGAGGTCTACATGACTCACCTCGAGTTCCTCTTTACAGATAGCGGGTACATGCACACACAACACAATCACATAACCCCTCCCTGAGCATTTTTCACCTTATTTTCATCACTTTTGTCATCCTATCAGTTTGAAATATTTACGTCACTCACTGTGCATTTGAAATGCCCCTAAAATGCAGTTGTGTTTTCATGAGGAAACAGGTTGCTCGTTTCTACATATAAATTCCCATGTCTAGTAAGTTTTGTATGGTCACATGTCTTTGTCTCTCCTGTATTTAAAAAAAGGGAAGCAAAATGTGAAAGTGAATTTAAGTAGCACCACTACCTTTGAGTTATTACAAAACTCACCTACATAAAAAGCATACTTACAGCGCCCCAGAGTAAATCAAACATGTTGCAATTTTTTTTTTGTGAGAGATGACGTGAGTGTGTCAGAGTCTATTTCCATAATTTATTTGCTCTTTGACTTCATAGCTGGGGATCTGACTAGCTCTGCACCTTTCCTTGTTTTAATAGAATGCCTTTTCAGCAGAGTTGAGATATGTGTGAGTGTGTGTGTGTGTGTGAGTGTGTCTGTGTGTGTGTTTGTGCGCACATGTGTATGCATCTGTAATAAATATCCCTGTGTCGCATTCTGATATAAGAAAATGGTTTATGGACTCCATTTAACGATAAATTACAACCTATACCTTCTTCAAACCCCCCACAGCTGCAGTGTGTGTGAGTTTCTACCAAAATCTCAAGATCATAACAAATGTGTGAAGAATATTCATACTACAATCCTGACTAGAAGCATCTGCAATATGCATATTGATTTAACAGATGAATGGACACAGGGACTGATATGAATAGAGCAGGCGGGGGAAAACTTCAAGGAAAGATGCATACAGACAATGCATGGACGCAAGATGGAATGTAGGCTGTTATTGATCCCTGTAAGGAAGTACATTCTTCGTATTTCCCTCATCCTAACTGTTGAGTGGCAGAAGCCAGCCACAGTGCAGTGCTCTGGGATCAGGTCCAGCTCTGAGGGCCACTATTTGGATTAAGGGCAATAACAACAGTCTTCCTAATGCCTTTGTTTTACATTAATTTGGACACTTTTTCTAAAGCGGCTTACAATAAGTGCATTCAAGCTAAAAAGGTTCAAGAGCTAGATTTCATTATAAAATTGGAAGTGCAACCGTCCCAAATAAATAGGGTGTTACAAAGCTTGCAGCAAAAGATGGTCCTCTGAATGATGGGGAAGCCAAACTTCCAGAGTTAAAGGAGTGCAATGGCCAGGCCAGTCTGTAGGGTTTGATCATGGCTTGGAGGTATAGGAAAAAACTGAAAGCAAGCAGCAAGTAAGACTGTAGTGAAAGAAGAAGTGAAGTGGTGTTGGAGAACATAGAGATGGAATGATTACTTTCCATTAGGGCAATCAAATATTGCAAAAGTACTTCATTTATGTATGGCATTTAACATAAAAATTGTATTGATATTGTCAGCACGGTAAATTGTTAGTACACAAGGTCACCCAAGATGTGATGCGGTGTGAATGGTAGAGATCTTCAGTTCTTGAAAAATAAGCACATATGGTAAAAAATATGGTCAAAGGCTGACAAATGGAAAGATGCAATGTGTCTGAGGTCAAATGAGTGGAAAGAGCTGCTGAGCATTCATTGCTAAGTGTTACATAAAAACAGGGTGTAGAGAAAGGTCGTTAGCTAGAGAAATACCCACAGAATCGGTGTGTGGAGGGAGGGAGGGGATGGGCCAGATGAATGGAGTAAGAAGAGATGGATGATAGAGCCAGAGTGTCCCTGAGACAGTCCTATTAACACAGAATGAACGCTTTAGAGGAATCAATGTAGTGCTAAACACCACCATAGTTTATTGACATTTAAATGACTTGTCCAAAAACAGAAAGGGTGTTAGTGAATTACTCCGAAATCAGTTCAGTTTTCAATCAAATTCAATTTTATTTGTATAATGCCAAATCATAACAGTTGTTATCTCAGGACACCTTTAATATAGAGCAGGTCTAGACCGTGCAGATTCATTTTTGCATTTTTGTTTTGGCTTCGCCTGATCTAAATTAGTTTAAATACCTTCTGAATTTGTGTGGAAGTGTCTCTTGTAGAAGGGCTGAACATCGGTTTGGCGTTACCATCTGATGCACCTAACATTGGTTTAATATCTTGCAAGACAAATAATGGCAAAATATTATAAAATGCTACCACCACAACATGTACCTTATGTCACTGATACCAGCTTGTTTTGCTGGATTGGCTGTTGCAGGTCTTCGTGTCAGGATTCAATTCAATTTTATTTGTATAGCGGCAAATCATAACAAGTTATCACAGGACACTTTTTTCAAATAGAGCAGGACCCTACGTGTAATTATTTACACAGACCCAACAATTCCCACCATGAGCCACCACTTGGCGACAGGGTCAAGGAAAACCTCGAGCAGACCCCGGCTCTAGGTGGCCGGCCCGTTCCCTGCCTCGTCTGGATTTTGGGTTAGAGAGAGAGAGAGAGAGAAGAGAGAGAGAGAGAGAGAGAGAGAGAGGGCGTTTGGTTCATGAATTCAGGTTGAATAAATAAAACTTGGATTACTTCAGGCAGGGCATCCAAATAGTGTGTCTCACATCAGTTGCAGTCAGTTGATCCAAACAAACATCATGTTTGACATTCCAAACAACGCACCTCCTAGCTCTTCATTTCAGTTCCTATCTGCTGCCAGCAGCTGTTGACCAGTTGTGCTTCTTTTGCTGCTGATCAGTGTTTGCCGGTGATGAGAAATAAAATAGCCTTTTGTGGCACCTTTCTTTTCTGACTCATCCTCAAGATGTGTTTTGCTTTGAGCCTAATGAGACGGAGAGGACACTTTGAATTCTGTACAAGCTCTTTCCATTTGTACATCTGGTGACCTCATCTGGCAAATAAAAGTTCAAATGACATCAGAAATTGCCAGCCTTATAGACGTTTAAGCTTTCCTGACAGTTGATAAAAACATTTCAGCCCCTAGCTGATATGTCCTAGATCAATAGAAACCACCATAAAAGACTGTCTGTGATTACTGCATTGCGATAACCCAAATACCGGGGTTCGAAGACCCCTCAAATAAGCTAAACAATTTCCTTTTTCCAAAGTCCACTTCATTTGAACCTCCTTTGCTCTGTCTATACCAGGCACTTGCTACTTAACCCTTCCAGGGACCTTGTGGCATGCAAGTAATATCAATACTTAAAGAACTGCAGTCACCCTTGTCCCAGCAAAGCCTCCCCTCTTCCCTCTGTTACTGCAGTTTCACCTCAGCTGTTTTATTACATAAAAGGTTTGTTCTTCCCTGTAATGTGGCATTTTCTGTATTTTTATATGCATGAGGATGTTGACATGCTACTGGCTGTTCTAGACATACTACACCTAATTATCTCAAATATTTCTCTCACATTAAGCTAGTGCAAGCATGTATCTTGCTGTGTGTTCATTCAAGTGTGTTTAGCATGCTGATGAGCTTTCCTGCCTGGAATAAGAAAGCACATTTGTAGCATTCAGTGGGAATGTGGATCATGCTGTTGCCACACGCAGGTTAGGTACAGCACATTCTGTGTTCAGCTGCAGCTGTTTCGTGCTGTTGGTTCATATTTTTAGGGATTATTGACGTGCTGTCCAGAGAAATTCTGCAAGGTTTGAGCCTGGAGCATGACCACGACCTGGAGCTTGGCTGTAAGCATGCTTCTCTGAGTCATGGGGGAGAAGCAGGGAGAGCAGGAGGACATGGACCGACAAATACGACTGCATAACCTTTGGTTCAGCAATACAAAAACAGTATTTCTGACTAAACTGACACAGGGGCTATTATGCCACAAGCATGGCGCATGGGCAATCAGATTTGACACTTCCATTTATGTCATCAGCTGCTCATTTAACCCGCTGTTCCTAACTGCCACATGTCATGTTGACCGGTTGTGCTGCTTTTCCCCCTCCACCACCACCTTTGTTACTGGAAATTATATACTGTATGTTCAATATGAAAATTAATTTCTTGCCTGAAATGGAACACATGTAAAATATGTATTTTGATTACGATAGCGGCATTAGGGGTGGCAGTATCAAGAGGTTGATCCGTCCAACACCTCACTCTGCAAAACTAATACCATTCCCATCAGCCTCAGCTTGACTTTGTGTTTAGTGCGAATAAGCACATGTTAACATGCTATCATTAACGATAGCATTTATGGAGATTGACGTGCTTTTGGAGCCAGTCTGAAGTGGCTTTTCGAGTTTTTGGCTGTTCCATGTTGCTCTGTATCTGCTGGATGTGTGAATAATAGCAAATGTTTACTAACAAATATGCTATACTAATTGAAAAGGAGATAATATGTGTTTTTTGTATTAATTGCCCATTTCTGCTGCCTTAAAATGGCCAAAAAATAAGTTATTGCAGGTTTAAAATGATTTACATTGTGTTCCTTAGTGCAAATGTAGGGCTTGAGTTACATGTACCCTATACTGTATGACTCATGCCTAAGGATCACGTCTCTGTGTTTTTGCAGATGGTGTGTGAGGACTTGGTGTTAGTGCATGTTTTGTATGTGTGCCTGTGTGTAAATGTGTGATAGGCCGAGAAATATCGGCTCACAATGAAAAAGTTAATCAGGTATAGTCACACGGCCCTCTCAATGTGCCATTGTCCTGTACTGAACTACACAGCACAAAAACTCCCCTGCTTCTTGTAAACAAATTAGCAGCATAGATCGTAAAAAATGAAAATACAGCTTGCATAAATTCAAACAACAATGATGCTGAATAATCATCACTGCTTTGCCAAAGCCCACATTAAGTTTAACTCTGGCTGTCATAATACCATGGCAATTAAATACGCCTGTAAATTAAAAAATATTAGACGCCTATTTTTGTTTGGACATGGTGGACAAGACAACAAACTGAATATGGTAATGTAAGATTAGAACGGAAGTACGGAAGGATTAGAGAGGATAGGAACAGCACGGAGAATGACAAATACTCCGCCGGATTAAATCGGTTCCTTGCTCCAGCTTTCGAAACGAACAAGAAACGATTGTAATGAGAAGCTCCTGATATGAACACATGAACACAACGGAGATAGAGGTGAAAACTGTGTTGTGTACAGAGAGAACTGTGGCACAAAGTGAAAACTGTAAAGAGAAGACAGGAGGCGAACACAATCTTAGCAAAGAGAGGTCCTTAACACCTTTTGTCAGGAGGTGACAACTTGGTTTTGAACAACTACAGTAACACACCCAAAGCAGAGCCTGACGTGAATACTGGTCACAATCCACCAGTCACAGCTGTCTGTGTTTCAGCCTGTGTGCTCATGCCAAGGAAAACCAGGTACCTGGAGAAGTTGTTGTCTTCGCTTGCCATTGTTCTTGCCTTGGTGCTTTCAGTCACTTTGGAGCTGATGTAATTAAATAGTGAAACATCAGACTTTGATTGGGGGTCTCAGGCTGCCCATGACCAAATACACTTAGGAAGGAGACAAGAGCAAAAGTGACAGAGAGAGTATTTACTTAGAGTTACTTGTTCTGTTGGCTCCAGTTTTTTGAGCCCCTGTTGTGAGGATGATTAGTGTTATTTACATTATTGAGCTTATTGTCAGCCGCTTCCACACCCGCTACCGCTGTCTATATTTTTTTCATTAGCAAAAGCCTCCCAGCAAGCTCTGATGGAGCGCCTAGAGGAAACATCGTCCTCTTTGATGTTGTCCCGTTCCAGCAGATAAACAGACTTGCTCTCACACTAACACACTCCCAGACCACCGGAGATTGCTCAGAGCCCCTTGCTGACTACCAGCAAACTACCATTCCTTTGCCTTTGCCTTTTCATACTTTGTATCTTTCCTTGTTTAACCTTTGTTTCCGTCTCTCTGAGGTTTTTCCCTTCCGATTCTCCCCTCTCTGGTGTTTTGCTCGTGTTCTTTTCACTTGTCCTCTCATTCTTCTAGACCACCTGCCGCTTTTGACTTTGAGTTCTGTGGTAAAACACATTTTTGAAAAGCAGTGCACAAGCCGCGCGCAAGACAGACTTTTTTCACTCTGCGCGTTTCCACATCACCTTCTTTTTTTTCTCTCTCTCTCTGTCTCTCTCTCTCCTCTCACTGTCTTTTCTTTTAAACAATTCTGCTGGTTTGTCAGCGCTGACCAAGTTCTTAGACATATTCTCAGTAGTAAACTATGAAATCCTCATCTTTTTTCGAAGGACTGTATCTTTGGTGATAAGCCTGCAGATCTCTGTGCTGCCTTTGCACTGCTGTTTTCAAATACTACTTTTCAACCAAATAGTCTCCAGTGTGGGGTTGTCTTCCTCCTTTGATTTTTTTGTTAAAATGTGGGTTTTTGTCAGTATTGCCGTTTTTCTCTTATCTTTTTCAGGCATGGTTATTGCTGCTTAACTTAGATCTTAATTAGTTTTTTTTCTAAACAAACCTCAGTTTCTGATGCCAGACATTTACTGTAAAGTGTTTCACATCCTGTGTACCAATGGATGTTTTCCGTGGAGAAGACATATCTCACACAGCAGGCGTTTACAGCAGCAAATGTAAAAGCTTTGAACTTGGGATATGGATTATTTTTGTGTGTTTATATTGCTATGAAAACTTTAGGATTATAACATTCAGTTGCATACGCTCATGGTTTTATTCTCTTCTCATTCTCTTTCCTCCTCATCCTCCTCATCCAGTCTTTCCACCAAGGATATTGAATCCCGGAGTGAGTCGCTTGGTCTGTTTGACACTTTGAAGTGCAACCCTCAGGCCTTTTACAGCCACATGACCAAGTACGTTCTTCCCAGTGTGGAGGGAACCGACCAGGGCCGCCTGCTTTACTACTACACCTTGCTAGATGCTGCAGGCTGTGAGCCTCACGTCACCACCATCATCAAGCCAGACTCCCATGTCAAATTGCTCAAGAAGCTGCGTGCTGTTGCCAACGGTAAGACAATTGTTTTTTTCTCTATCATTGTAATGCAGATGGAACAACTACTGCATAGCTAGTAGGTGGTTCACAGGAAGGACAAAAGGCAGGGATAATATGCCTGTTCAGATGTTATACCAGATGTTATAGCTTGCATCCAAAATCTAATTCAGCGAAAAACAAATCTGTGCAGTCATTTATGCATAAAGAAAGGAATTAATTTGGTTGTGGTAAACAATGGAACTGCTTAGAAAAACCTAATGGTACCGAATCGACAAAAGCACCCATTTGTCAATCAGTTGACGCTGTTTCTGAGAAAGAATAGGGAAAAAAGCCTAGGATTGCAAGGGTTAATGCACCTCTGTTGTTGGTGCAAAATCAGCCCCAAGCCTTTAATGTCAACAAATCAAGTCCAGTGTTGAAGACTTGAATAAAATCCCTCTTGACATGATTGATGACTCACATACAAATGTTGACATTCCTTCTAGCCAGTAGATAACCTCAAGTCACTGTCATGTACAATCTTTAAAAAAACTGTTGAATGACTACATTCGTGGCACATTTCTGGCCCCAGATAAAACAAAATCCTTTTTTTCTTTAAGTGACAAATACAACCCTGCTGTATACTTCAAATGTACACATATTATCATTCATGTCTACCTCAGCTTATCCTTTTGATTTTACTCTTTCCCCCCTTTTCTCCACCAGCTCTTATGTTTCCTAAATTAAAAAAAGGAACAGGATTGAACCAAACACAGCTATTCACATTTTCCTGTAAACGACAAGTGAAGCAATCCACCTCTGTATTAGTTATTAATCTACCTAACACACCAAGCTCCTGAAACAGCAACTGCATCGCAGTAAGATGCAGTTTCCCCTTAGATTCCTGTGGCAGCACACTCTCCAAGGATGTCATGTCCAGGTTGTAGCGTGTCACCGGTTCAGCGGTCCGGCTAGAGTGCTCAAACTTTGCTGTGTACGGGTGGAGGTGGTGTCACTTCTCGATGAAGTTCAGTAAAGGTCAGCCAGGTGTCAGCTGTGTTTTCACGCCTCACTTCCTCCCTCTGCTCCTGATAACACCACAGCTTTTACCGGTGACACATGTCTCTGTTTAACACACACACACACACAGATACACACACACACACAACCTTTGAGTCATCCACATCAAGACTGCATTTCTACATAAACGAACAATAATCAATCACTCACACACAATAGGCATATCACCATATTAGCAACCGACTGCTCGCTAAGCAACTACTTGAAAGTCATTTTTTAAAGAATGGTTCCTTGAGTTCAGTGAACAGTTGTTTCTTGAACAAGGCTTTTTTAATATAACCTGAAACACAACATCACAATTTAATATTGTGTAATGTGTGTTCCTAGACTTAGTAAAGCTTGGTTACTATTGTAGCTGGATATGCTAACAATTAAAGCTTACTTTAGCAATAAAACACTGTTTAATCCACTCCACCAGAGTTTGCAGAAAAGAGAGGGTTTCTTCCACGGCAGTCTGACAAACATCAAATTGAAATGTTTCCATCATTGTAAATACTAGCTACTGCAACACAACGTAAGCCAGGTCAGCTAACTTAGTTGTAAGCTAGTTAACGCCGAACCTAACTTTGGACGTGTTTTCAACTTTGAGAAATGTGTAGTTGGTAGTGTGTGTGAACTGACCAGAACCGAGACATTTCACTGGTATTTACTATAGCCAGCAATGGACCCTTTTCATGGCACACGTGGAGTTAATCATATTCATAATCATATTCATAACGATAGACCCTTCAATTAAAAGTCCCAGTAAGCCATGTCAGTGAGTTGAGCATGCACAATATCAGAGCCTTGGAACTGGGTTACCTAAATGAAATGCAGCCGTCATTAATGGTATTAATTAATGATTGCTTGTGCTTTTTCTGCTTTGACAAGTCAACGTTTCTGCTGTGAAAAGGGTCTATCACAGTTAAGTTAAAAGCCAAAACCGGAAATGAAACAAACTTAGCTATTACTAGAGCCCAGTGCAATGGGCTGCAATACCTAGTTGCGGTCGATAAGCTGTAATTGGGCAGGGTTTAGAAAACTCACAGCTGCAGCAACAGTAAAACTACCCAATACACACCTAAGGGATTCATATTCATGTACTGGCACATGCTATACTGACTGTGTGACATTGACACTTACAAACTAACACTTTCTGTATCACTCTCTCTCTTTCACACAACACAACACCACACACACACACACACACCCACACACGAGAGACACACACGTTCACAAACACTGTTAAATCTTAACCCACACAATCACGCTCTTGTAGCAAAATTGACATGCAGGCTGTTGTGGAGTCTCCAGGTCCACCAACTTTCTACAAACACTCTCTAACTCCAAGGCACACACTCAAAATGACTCATTTGTAGTCCTGAACAGACATACACGCACATAAACACAGTTACAAGGCATTCAGACAGAGCAGAGACAGGTGGTGTGTGTCCAATATTCATCACAATTTCAGACACAGTACCAGGTGACTGTCTGAGTAAGCTCTCCTGAGGAAGGGGATGAGATGCTGCTTGGGTGTGGAAGAGAGTGGGTGGAGCAGGGAGAGACAGAGAGAGAGTACATATGTAAGTGCATGTAACTCTTATCTGCAGTTTAAGTATCCGTCTGGGCCTGGATGAAAATATTGTGTGTGTACTTGCAGTTTTTTATATATGTGTCTGTGTGTGTGTGTGTGTGTGTGAGGGATTCCGAGCAGCGTTGACGGAGACCTCCCCAGACAGACCAGTGCTAAATATTTAAAGCCCAGACAGACTGTGGTGTTGCCACAGTAATGGGTCTGTCTGATAGCACTGGAGACCAAGAGCACGCCACTTGCTCTCTCTCTTACACACACACACACACACATAGAATACTGCAGTGGTAGGAGATATGATGTACACAGACAGATTCACAGAAAAAATATACACCTTTGCATGCAGACACAAGCGGACAGCACCGGTTTTACACACACAATCTTTGCGGTTCACATCTTTTACTCTCTTCTGTGCATTTCTCTTTACACATTTATGTCATGGAATATTGAACATCCTACGCATATAAAATCAGTCAAATCAAATCATCAAAGTGCTGCATGGTTAGCACATACCACATGTGAATACAAAAATATAGTATGTACTGTATATATTGTATTAAGTGCCTTCAAATAGGCCTCTCTTTTGTGCCACTTTCGGAACAGTGTGGTATATATGTTTGAATGCTAGGTTTCTCACACAGAAACGCTCATGTGTTTTTCATGTACCTGTCATGTCTCTGTACGACGGAGTATTAGGGCCAGACTAAGAGAAAAAAAATATTTTTAGGGGGGGGGAAATTACGAGAATAAAGTCGTAATATTACGACTAATTAATTAATTAATTAATTATTAATGTAATAATAATACAAGAAAAAAAGTCATTTTAATGAGAAAAAGCTTTGATAGAGTTATCAAGATCTGACGTGAGCAGCTCAACCAATCAGCAGCCTCAGCCTGAGCCCAGCAGCCGCTGTTTGTCTCAGTCGTACTGTACAGTCAACAGGTAAGCTAACGTACTTGATAATTTCGTCGTTAACAGTTTTTTGATGGCTGAGCCAACAGGCTGTTGACAGTTCTCATAAAAATTACGACTTTATTCTCATAATATTATGACTTTATTCTTGTAATTCCCCCCCCCCCAAAAAAATAAAAAAAAAAAAATACTCTGTTATATCTCTGTACTTTAAAGAGTAGCAGTATAAAATAATTTGCATACATTAACACATTAACACTCTTGCAGGTTTGAACTACCGGAAGCTGACTGATGAATCGTTGGATCCTCTGGCCACTTTACAACCAGTTCTTACCAGTCAGAACGTGCTGTCCATCTCCAAACTTGCTAATCGGCTGCCCATGCCTGGTGGTGGAGGGGCAACAGTCTCCCCCAGTGCAGTCCACGCAGTGTGGCTGCAGAAGCTGTTTTGGAAAGGGGACCCCCAGTTGCTGAAGAGACCCCCACAGAGCGACCAAGACTACCTCCATGCCTACGATACCTGCGCCAAATACCTGGACAGGCTGGCCCCTGCTGACGCTGTCCACTTCCTGGACAGCATCACCTTCTCACCCGATGCAGCTGAAAAAGTAAGTCTAAATTTGGTCAAACAATATTGATGTTTGTGTTTTTAAGCCTAGCCATGTTTTTCGTGTGAATTACTGAGTGGCAGACAGAAAAGAGGAAAAAGTAGTATGACACAGTACAGTGTGAAGGAGGCTCTCTTTTCTATTACCGTCTCAGACAGCAACCAGTGGGAGTTTGGCAGACAGACAATTTGTAATTGCAGCACAGAAGGTACTGTAGTTGGTTCCAGGCAGCCACCCAGACAGGATTCATATTGTCTAAAAGGAAGGATTGAGGGGATTTCCAATCACTACATCAAAATGTCACATTCCTCACTCTGTACTTTACATCGTCTGACCGGTCGTCTCTCAAGCCCCCGGCTCCATTTTTGGAACGTCAAAGGCCCTTTCCTAATTTTAAATACATTATTACGTTCACATCCACACTCTGTCGCCTCAAAGCACATACCAGTCATGATTTATAAAAGAAATTATAAAATTGCACAAGAAATGTCAGCCACATAATTACAGCACTCTGAAAAATTGTCCTGCAGAGAACCTAAAGTGCCTCAGCGCACCTTATCAATACTAACCCACTTCTTTTTTTTCATACTGGCACGCTGCCATAGCCCCCCTCTTCAGACCTTCCCCTTTTTTCCCATTTTTGTCTTATGCACCCTCTCGTTGCTGTGACTCTGTGAGAGCTAATTGATCCCTCTCTACTTCAGAGCCAATTAAACTCCAATTCCCAGCAGGCACTGTTTTCCCACTGTGCTTTTTAACATGTAGATTACCTCTCAGAAGTCCACTGTCTGCTCTCTCTACCCTCAACCTCCTTCTCTTTCCTTTTTAAAAATCCATTTTGAACCCTCAAAGGGAAAATCTTGACCCTTCTCACTGGAATGCAGCTGACCTTTCACACCCCCATTGCCCCCCACGGTGGATTGATCCATTTCCCTCAAGGCCAAGGGCTGACAGGGATGGCTGGGACTTTGCTTTCCCCCTACTGGATGTATATTTTGAAGGGAAACAGAGTGTTGGCATTTTTACCCCCTCTGAAGTATTGATCTTAGATAGCGTCTTTAGTGGAAGCAACCTCCCTTGCTCAACCAGCCTGTTTTGAAACTTTGCCCTTTGTCTGATGTTGGTTGTGAATGCCTATATCTGATTCTATGCACACTCACACACAAATGCATATACACCCTTACCCTTAAGAGGAATTGCACAGGTTTGTCAGGAGGCTCCATTTTAGTGATCATCCTGTCCTGGCAGAGAAAAGTGCTGTCAGTCTGAGTCAAGCTCTACTCTATCTAGCAAATGCAGAAATATGAGTAGCATGTGTCTGAGGTAGCTGAAAATGTGAAGTTGGATGATTTAAGTGTCTTCTTGGTGTGAAAGTGTGTGTGGGGGGCCTGTCAGCGCCTGTGTGCTTCCATGCGAGAGAGGTAAAATGTCCTACAGCCAAAAGCCCTCTCTTCTCTCCATGAATGGTTAACCTGCTCTTACTGAACTGAATCAATTACACCAGGCCTGCCAGCTAGAATCTCTCTCACACACACATGCTGCTTAAGTTCTTGGTGGTATTTCGTTGCAGATAGATTGGGTTATACCTGCCTCTCTTCAAAATGTTAAGTTTGAGATTAATGAACATAAGTCGTGCACTTCTCTTTCCCTCTCTTCGCTCAATTTGATTTGCTTTCCGTATCCCGTCCCTCTCTCTCTTTATTCTGTTCCCTCCATCCATCCTGTTCTGTCTCCAGCTGAGCATCCAGACGAGGTCGGAGGTGATAAAGCGAGCCACCAAAGCCCTGCGCCAGCTGGGCGAGAAGAGCAAGAAGAGAGGAGGCGACGGTAGCGGGGAGCAGGAAGGGACAGACCCAGTAGGGATGACTTTTGATGAGGCTTTAGCACACCTGCAGCAATCACAGGCCCACCTGGACACCCTGAGCCATGCCTTCGTTCTGTCACTCAGAGACAGCCAGCAGGTAGACCCCATTTGCCAGACACTTTTTTAGCGTGAGAAATCCTCTTTCTGTAAATGTGTGGTATATGATTAAACGGTTAAAAGAACACACAAAGTTCAACATATATTTCCCCGTTGTTCAATGTAAATGTCAAGTAGTGTGGACATAGACCCACAGCGTTTGCTGCAGTGATTCACGGCGGTGCATAAGCATAAACTCTGTTGAATGATCAGTTCAAAGCTTAAATGGATAGTCGTTGTAAATCATATGCTGCTAAATCTCATGTGCTTGCTCACTAAAAACTGATAAACTACACCCAATTTTTTAAACGTATTAATCCACAGACCATATAACAAATTATAGTCTCTTTTTTTATTCCTGGAAGAGCAGAATTCTTAATTTGGATAAAGCCGATCACCTACTTAATGATAATGTACTGTGACATACTGTAATGCCTATCTACAAGAGACAGTTATTTTTTGTCTTTCTTCTTCTTAATTAACAGGTAAATTGACTCAATAGTCATTCTCCAAAACTCTTTTAGATTAAGTGAGTCATTCACCACGTTTGAAACACACACGCATCCTGTTCACTTGCCTGTTCGTGGGGTCACCTTTAGCTGGATATACACGCTGTGTCCGTATCTACTTGTGTGTGTGTGTGTGTGTGTGTGTTGTATATTTCTGGGGTGGTTCTGCTCGACTAAGCTCTTCGCAGCCTCAGTGGGACTGGTCAAGGGTATATTAATGTAAATCTATGGGCTGCTGTTTCAAATGAGACGGCCACATGGCCGTATATACAGTACATACACCATGCTGTATCTCATTAAGCAAAGTCACACTGACTTACCCCACTGTCACCTCCCTGTGGCTGTGTGTGTCTGTGTGTGTGTGTATGCACAAAATGAATGTGGGGCTAGAGAGAGTGTTGCTATGCGACCATGAGATACCCATAAAAACTGGTAATTTGTGACCCCAACACTGTACAGGTTTATAATATTTAGCCCCTGTTTTATCTGTGATTAAAAGCACATACCCTCTGTAATAGCTAAGATGATACAAGCATTACAAAGCACAGCTGTAGGCTAAAGTCACAGGTACACACAACACACACACAAATACACACACAGTCCAACCTCTACAAAGTAACTTCTATTATATTGGTGCAGGAAGTGATTGTATCCTTGGAGATAGATAAAAAGGATATAAGAACCAGAAAAGGGCAGATAGGTAGGGAAAGATAGATAAAAGGAGCCCTGTAGGTTCTGTTTGGCTATACTGCGGTCATTTATCAAGTGTACGTGAACATCTGCTGGAAATAATAGTGGATAGAGGAATCCACCACAAGCGCCTAGACCTGCCACAAGGACACTAAATTACATACTGCGGATATTGTATATGGTACATTGGTATAGTGTTTTGGGAAGGAATGGGTCAGTATCCAGAGAATAGTGCTGAAAAATATAACTGTGCTGTGGACAAATTAGAATATAAGTTCTGTGGTAAAACCGTCCCATGTTCCTTTTCTATAATGTACAATGAATAAATACTATACCTGTGATGATTAGTCTTTATAGTGCTGTAGCATGCACAATTACATCCTTTGTTTTTAGAAATAATGATCTTTTGGGCAATTTCTTGCCTTTCTTTGATGGTAACAGTAGAGAGATTACAGGAAATAAGGGGAGAGAGGGCATGGGGAATGGGGACATCAAGATTCATGGTTGGCACTTTCACCCCTATGATACCAGGCAAATATCCATCCATCTATCACTCCATTCATTGATTTTAAAATCCTTTGTCTGATACACTTTGTGTTGGCACAAGGGCACACAGAGAGGCCCAAATGTCATTTTCCTCATAAACCTCTTCCAGCTCTTCCTTCATGACCTGGGTCTACCCCTGAGTTTCCCCCACCGTCTATGCAACACCTATAAAAGGAAGCAGCAAAGGGGCATCCCGATTAAATGCCCAAACCACCTCATCAAGCTATTCTTGGTGAAACCGGCCACCTTGCAGAAAATAGCCGCATGTAGGAGGATAGGAGTATTGAGAGCTTAGTTTTATAGCCCAGCTCTGTCTTCACCACACCCATTCCCTAATTGGCACTTAAAGTCTCGATCACTCATGAATAACACCCAAAGATCTACATTTTTCCATGGTCTTAAACTTGACTCTCAGGGTGCAGCACCCTCAGCTGCAGAGTGGACACTATCTACTAAAAGCAGTGATACCACCCAAACAAGACACTCTTCAGTCTTCAGCTAGGCCTTGATGATCTGCCAATGAATAGAATATGAATATCATATGTCATGAATATATGATGTCCATATATCAGAAATATCATATATCATATGAATAGCAATACCCCTTCCTGAATATCCTGTCAATAAATATTACAAACAGGAGAGGTGACAAAGGGCACTCTTGTCTGAGTCCAATGCCAATTCTGATTGAGCTTGACTTTATTCCAAGAATGTCGATGTCTTGCTCAGAGTGTACAGGGACTGAACGAGAGCTCTCTCCCAGCACATTTCATTGAATATTTTGGATGCAAAGATCATAACCCTTTTCCAGATCTAAAAAAGACAGTATTGGCTGGATTACCAAATGTCAAACACAGATTGTTTTCTAAAAGTCTGCAATCCTGTGGTATTTAAGACACCAAACTGATACATGATGCAGAAACAATTCATTGTTTCTTGTCCTTCCCCTGGCAAAAAGCAACATTTTGCAGTATCAGCTATGCATTACTAGCATTACTGTGCATCACACCCCCAAGTTTTCACTTCTGTGATGACAGTACCTAGCTGCAGATTATTTTGCCTGTTGATACTTTAGTCCATTTACTGTGGAGTTGCTGCTATCTGCTAGCTTTGGAAGTCCTATATCTCAAGCTCTTGAGAGACCACTAGGTTCAACAAGTGTGTTGTTTGGTTGCTGCAATGAAGAGTGCCAACCACCTTCAGACCTCATCTCTTTACAGCTGCCACAAGACATAGGTTTTGAACAGAAATTATAGCCCTTTGTGTACCTAACCTTTTTCTCAAATGTGAGAGTTACGCGTATGGAAGAATACAATAAATCAGAATCAGAAATACTTTATTGATCCCCGGGGGGAAATTTGTTTGTTACAGTTGTTCTACTCACACGTTAAAGAATAGAAAAAATACTTATATTAAAATATCTAACACAATATACAGAATAGAAATATATGTATAGGTATATACAAGTAAAAGTAAAAATAAAAATAAGCATGGAAATAGAAATATAATAAGAGCCTAAGAGATATAATAAGATAATAAGAGCCTATATACACGTAAATGTATTGTAAACCTATTCCACAGTATGACAGTGACAGAAATGAAATAGTAATGAGTTTGAGATTGTGGCTTGCAGAAGTTATAGATAATTACAAGGAATGATTGAATAATTACAAGAATAACATAATAACTAAGTGTATTGCACATTGACCTGGGTATTGCACCTTAATCAACTTATTACACATTAATAGCACCAGTTTAATGACTAATGACTCAGAGTTTTGACACTAAGGGAGAAATTAAAGAGTTTACAAAGAAAACAAAGAGATTTAAAGAAAATTCAGATCTGAATTGAAGATAATCTTTTACGTTTATAAGACAAGGAAATAATATGTAATAATTACATATATTTCCATTCAAGTTTCCTTTTTCCTAAATATGCACACATCCAGTTAATTGCACACAAATGGACTGACACACACATACACACAACCAAATACCATTTATGACTCCTCAGATTGAGATTTTTATCCGTTTCTTATTGGAAGAGAGAGAAACGAGCAAAGCAAAAGCAGGACAGTGGAGGAGGGTGAACAGGTTCAGGCCAGTGCTGCCCTCTGGGTTAATACCTGTAGAGAACATAGCCCTCAACAACAAACTTCACTCACCAAACTTAGCACTTCTTACACCACACTGCACTACTACTGACTGCCTTTATTTTCCCCTTAAATTCTCTGAAATATTGCTTTTCCCCCCTCTCTTTTCTGCCATCTCACATTATTATTTGTTTGTCTCTATTTGTCTTTTCCAAATATTTTAGAACTTTTGACAAAGGCTGTGAACTTGTGTCTTATGTTGTGAAGTAGTAATAGTGGAATAGTCCCTGTCAGGTCAAAAATGACTGCACTCCAATCACTCTTGTTGTCTTTCTGTATTCCAGCGTTACAGTCAACTTTATGATTTGTCCCGATCGGAAAGGTCAAAAGTGCACGAATTGGCAGTCACCATGGCAACCGATGGGGAACCTCTGGAGCGCATTGGGGAGCTTCTGCGTGTTGCTGTTGGACCCCTAGACCTGTCTGTTAAAACGGTGCTTCATGACGCAGTGGAGAGAGTAGCAGCCGCACTCAGGTATTATCTCACTCAACATACACAATATGATACAAGAAAACATAAACGCAAGTCTTGTCAATACACATGTACACAAAATCTTCCAACTGACAACATGTACAAGAGAAGCTTGGTTGTACACAAGAGTTATTCAGCATTTTGGAAATCACACTTCTTTGGCTTTCTTGCGGACACAGATGAGGAAATCGATAACACTCTCATGTCTGTGCACTAACTATGGAGCAGAAGCAGGGGGAAACTGCAGGTCTGGCTTCCTCTAAAGTTCAATAATAAACCTACCAGCACCTCTAAAGCTCAATAATTGACACGTAATCCATACACAAAAAAAAATTAGAAGTTGGCTGTGAAAGCAAGACTTTTATGCACAAAAGACACGTTTCACACATTTACATTTTTTAACAAAATAAGACATTTAAATTAGAAAAGCAAAACCTTCCATATTTTATTAGACACATACTTGAGTATATATATATATATATAGTATATAGTATATATTAACATAATTCAACTTCTAAGTCTAGATTTCAAGTCTAAACTACACAACTATATTCTTACATAGAATATATATATACATATACATATATACACTTGCCTGTATAGAGAAGATGGGTTAACACTGCACTGCCACACCACTGCAGTTACCAAATTCCTTACCATCAATTTGCTAAAATCAAAAAAAAAAGCATCTTCTTCTTCAGGAGTCAGAAAACTTTAAAATGTACACCTGCTTCTGAAGCTAGTGTTTATTTGTGGATGTCACAGTTCTTCTCACTGGGTTATGAATCATAAATGGCAATGCACACTACAAGGCCCCCTCTAAAACCCTGAGTTGTTCAGAAAAATGATTAATAATAATAGCACACCGCTGTAGGCTTGTGCTAGTAAAGATACCACCCACTGTGACAAAGCTAACAAAGGCAGGAGGAAAATCAAGTTGTCAGGTTAGTACGTGTTTCCCTTTTTCCTTATTTTAATCTCTCTTAGATTCGCTGTCATGCCTTGTCAAACAACATTATCATCTACAAGAATCCCTTTCATACCTGTCTGGTGAGATTACATACATCTGTATATAAAAATATATGTATCTCTTAAAACAAGTCAGATTAAGAGGAGCTTGCTATATTCACCTCAAAAGCGGGCTTTATGGTGTGTATATTCTAAAATATTGAAGGCCACCAGAACCAACCACCTACTACTCGATCTCTGTTGGTTATTATCTGAAAAAATACTGTATATTGGTCCACTTTGGGCTCAGCATGTTGGTGGGAAAACACTGTCAAAAAAATGCCTGAAGTGTTGAATTAAATCTACAGTAGTTGCCTGTGGGAGTTGGACTTGAAGCATTTTATTGGTGTCTTTCTGCTCCCTGCATTCAAAAGGAATGGAGAGATGATTCACCCCGACATGTCTGCAAAGCTGCAAAGTTCGGGCCACGGAAAATACATAATATTGTACGACTTTACATCCAAAAACTACATATTTTGATATTAAGAAACAGGTTGCTTTCATTTAAAATATGCATAAAGGTCCAGTGTGTAACATTTAGGAGGCTCTATCAGCAGAAATGGAATATAATATTCATAGGTATGTTTTCCATAGGCATTAGATAGATAGAGAGATAGATAGAGAGATAGAGAGAGAGATAGATAGATATACTTTATTGATCCCAAGCTGGGAAATTGCAGAATTAGTGTATGATCACTTGAATAAGAATTGTTGCGTTTTTGTTACCATAGAAGGAGACATTTTATGTACAGACGCCATGGGTCGCCTTCCATGGAGGCCATGTTGAACCTCTATGTTTCAAGGATTCAAGATCATTTTATTGTCGTTTCTAATGCAAGGTTGTAGAATGAAATTTCAATATAGTTCCCTTTATGCATACGTTTTTTTGCTAGTCTCATGGCCACCATAGTTTCTCCGTCAATGTTGGAAAGGGAGGCTGAAGCGAGTGAGTTGCAATCAACTACACCACTAGATGTCACTAAATCCTACGCACTGGACCTTTTAATGGAAGTCTTATTTTCAGAGTAGTGTTTTTTTATATTTGTCCTTTATGCCCTTTATGTCCAGTATTTATGTGTGCTAATAATGACGGACCAAGGAGCACAGTTTTACTGACGAGGCCAGATGTCATCGGGCCATCTGATTGGCTTGATAAATGAGTGCCAATCGCCTTGATTATATTCCTGCCTCATTTCCTGCTTCTTTATGGCTGCTCAATGGCGCGTGGTGCAGATAGATGGCACCTGCAATTTACACACACACACACTCACACACACACAAGGAAATAAATGTGCACATGCACAGACACTTACACGTTTGTATTTAAGTAGACATGTAGGCAATATTCCTGATGAACACACACACACACTCTGTGCTGCATGTGCACGCTCTTCCCCTTTCTCTGATTCATTATCTTCATATAATTAATGCAGCCTAATACAGCTGTTCTCCTCCAGATCTCACTCGGCTCCCACAGCAACACACACACACACTCAGTCTGTGTCCATGCATATGTGTGTGTTCTTATGTATTTACTAGAGGCATTCTTTCCCTTGAATGTGTCACTCAGTGCTCTTGCATATGATTATCCCTTTATGCATTCAAGTATGGCTCTGTGCGTGTGTGTTGTGTGTGTCTGTTGTTGCAGGGCTTTCTCGAGGCATTGTGTTTGGCAGGTATGAATGAGCCGGTCTTGTTTTTGGCTCTCTCAAAGCCTTCAGTCTGGCGCAGCAGGCATACCTGAGCCTCACACTAATGGCCATCTTTTGTATCTGTCATAACTATTCTGTGTTTGTGCGTCTCTGAAGAGAAAATCTAAGTGGTAAAATGCAATAAAAAAATGCTGCGTCATCTTTCCACCTTTTGCCAGATCATTTGTATGTTGTGCATGAATGTGTGTTGAATATATGTGTGTGTGTGTGTGTGTGTGTGTGTGTACTCGCATGAGCCCAGCAGCAAAGGGGAGTTGAGTCAGGGGAAATCACCCTTTTTTTTCCCCCTTTCTGTCTTTGTGAAAAATGGCTCTCCGCTTGCAACATACAGTGTACACACACACAAACACACGCACACGCTCACACACACACACACTCACACACTCACACACTGCAGCAGAACCCACAGCAGGAAATACACTAATGACGCTGCAGAAAAGATCACATATCACCTTTTTTAAGCTCACTTACTATTATGTTCCATTAAACCTGTCCCATTTACACCTTCATTTGAAAAGAGAAGCCTCTTTTATCAGTGTTAAATGATTAAATTAGTATATATTCTGGTGTTTTTCACTAACATACTCACAGAGCTGATGAGCTTGTAATGTTGGAGTCGGGTTTAAATGTTTTTCTGTTACTAAATGTCTTTAGGACTTTAAATCATTTTGTGATGGTTAATTTTTACAAAGCTGCGTTTCAAACATTTAATCGCTGCCAGACATGTTTTTAACTAACGCTGTCCCTGAGAAGAAGAGCCTTTGATTTTCTTTCTCAGTTGTTGTCCTTCTGTATTGTGGTAATTTGAACATCTAATCCTAATTAGCATATTATGTAAGATGATTGTGGTGATGTGTGTTTTTCAGTGGAGACCCAGACGCTCTGACAAATTACCCACAACCCCTCAGGGTCCTGGAGGCCATGGTGACCGCTGTGCACAACAGTGTCCAGAGTGGGTAGGTTCTCTACTCACACACAGAAACCTCACACACTTTTGTCTCACTGTATTTGTGGAAACCTTCTGTTGATAGCATTTATTGCTGTCCGTAAACTAAATCATCCTCATAGAGGAGAAGGTCAGATAATTCCACCCCCAAGCATGTGTACATTATCCAAAATTCTAAAATTGTGTTTTGTTTTTGATGCATAAATCACACACACTTCAAAGATGTTTTTCTTCCTCTGTCTCTTTGCTCTCAATGCCTCTTTTCAGCTCTATTCAGGGCCTCAAAATTAGCACCTGCTGAGTGTCAAATCCCAGTAAAATGCCTGTTTGATAGTTGCCAACCTATCTGGTAGCTTTTTTTGAGCTGACAGCATTTTGAAGGCACCTGTTATACCCTGGTCAGCTCTTTTGTGACCATCAGCCAAACAAAGTAAAACGATTGATGTATGACAAAATGAGTCCTAATTTGCTGCCTGTCAGAGGAGCTATACTCTAAGCTCACACTTTCCTTAAGCCTGAGGTGACTTCTTCAAATTCATCGTACAGTCCGATCAACAGCATCGAATCCCCACATTTCAGAAGCTGAAACCAGGGAATTTATTTTATTTATTGTTTTGCTTAACGGTCAACATATTATCAAAAAAATTGCCTAATTTTCTATCAATTGACTAATTGGTTAATTGACTTATCATTTCAGATCTAAGTTGGATAGTTCGCTAGCTAGAACATTAGAAATAAACACATTTTCAGGCTTGGAAGACATCTGCGTTTCTGTGAAAAAACTGAATTTTTGTAGTGGTAAACATGTTTCTTGGCAAGTTTTTCATTTCTCAAGTCATTTTTCAGCCTTGCGAAAGATAAGCCAAAAAAAAAGAAGCTTATATTAGGTTCATGACCACTTGATAACATAAGATTTATTTTTATTTTTTTTTTAGAAGAACCCACTAGAATCTACTACTAACCTCTCTATCTCTGTCTCTTTATCTCTGCCTCACTCTGACTGCTGTCCTTTTCACCCTCCTCCTCTAGCAACGGTGCAGTGACTTCAGATGACCTCCTGTCTTGGTTGCATCCATTCTGCGGAGACGCGTCACTGCCCGTGCGGCCTCGGATCGACGTGCTGCAGATCTTGGAGAGTAACTTCAGCCTCCAAGACAGTGACGTTCGTCTTCTGCTGCTCTACAGAACTCAGGCTGTTCTCAAGGACAGAGAGGTAACACACATACAAGCAGCCATGACTCTTCAGTCGCTTGCTCACAAAGTGCAAATGTGAGAGATTTTAAGTACATTACTTTAGAAAAAAGTTTAATCCCAAGCACTCAAAAACAGAACACTGGTACTTGATCTGAAGGAGGCTATGGCTTTTCTTTTCTACAAGGTCATAACATTAAATGCTGGGCAATACATTTTGAAAAGGTACTAGAAATTGATGGGTGGAGAGAAGAGATAAGTGGATGGAGAACAGAGTAGAAATGAGGTAGTGAAGACGCTTAGAGGGTGGATAAACTACTCAATCATCCCATCATGAAACATGAATATTGACATATACACCGATTATGACAACCTGGGCACTCAAATCCTCACGCTGCCCATTTTTCCTGTTTCTAATACAAACATAAAGAGGACAAAATGTTCGCTTGCTGCTTAATATATCCCACCCACAGTGCTCATAATGTTGCTGATCGGTGTACATTCCCATCATGTAAGGTAATGGGCATTAAACAACGTAAAAGGTGGTCTGCTGAAGGGATAAGTAAGATGCAGTTAAAGTCTGTTTACCGCTGTTGCTGCTAAAGTTGATGCTAACACTACAGAGCTGAGATCATGATTGTGGTTTATTTGACCCATGAATTACAAAACAAAAAAGAAAACTAAAAAAAACTAAAACTAAACTAACTAAAAAAAACTACGTTGCTAATCTTTATAAAATAAATTGTGAGTTTTCAGAATATGATCTGCTCATGCATCTTCATGATGGCTCATTAGAAACATTTCTCAAGGTATTTCAGTTGTCACAGGTGTTGAAGACCTTTGCAAACAGTATTATATTTATAGAACCAGTTAAGAGTAAACATATGTGATCTTATTCTAACAAACAGCCTTCATAAGACTATAGCAACACACCATCATAATGGGTCATTAGTGCAAAGAAAACATTATGTTAAATTGGATGAGTCGAAACAGCTCTTCAGAAACACCTCGTGGTACTGTACTTATTTACAAGTGTAAGTGATGATCTTGATCAGCAGTCTTTTTGGCTTATAAATGGAGATAAATTAGTTTGTTTGTCTATGTAAATGTAAAACCAACACACGTCGACACATAAATGCTTGTAAGCATTTCTAAATCCTCTGTATTTTTGCTGTAGTGTTTAATACACAGTATGTGGAGTATTTAGGTTCTAGCATGCTGAGCGTTTGCACATGCGTATATTTGCCTGCGTCCTCCCCCCTTCCTGGTGTAACCTACCCTTGAGTGGCTAGTCATTACGTTTCCTGACTGACTAATTAATGGCCTGGGCTGGTTAATGAATGTGTAAATGTAAGCGCGCAGCCGTGGGCCATTGTCAGCGCAGGTAGACAGGTGTGTGGGCCCGGACTCTAACTAATTGGGTGCACTCTCGACATTTGGCAGGCTCTGATGAAACACACACTCACACGTGCGCTCTTAAGGGAGTGTACATCCAAGGGATCAGTTAATTAATCTTGTAAAAGATAAAGAGCGGGACTCATTTTGGATGAAGTGCCATTTTCTCTCTTTCTCTTGTCTCTCCTTAAGGCAACCGAAAGGCTTATAAATGTGTGAGCAGGGTTTTTTTTGTAGGCAAATGTCTCATTCAGCTTTAGTAAGTCAAATTTTTTGTTTGTTGGAAAGATTTTTCATAACCACATCTCTACTGACACACAAATTCAAAGCCATGAACAAACACGTTCGAGCACACACTCTTTAATTTATTACATTTTGCCTCCTAATTGGAGCGACACTTCATTGTCTTCGCTGGCTGTTACCCGGCTGAAAGCACTGGCACAGTAATCAAGTTGGCTAGGCTCATGGAGCCACCCGTAAGCAACGCTGGCACTTGTGGCAGCATGCTGGTCCCCCCGGGGCCATGCCAGAGACGTGGTGGTGCCCCAGTCTGACCTCATCACGTTGGCTTACAACCAGATAGAGAGAGGGAAGTAGAGGAAGAGGAGGAGAGAGAAGTGGTGCACTGTGAGAAAAAAAAGTCAGACACTGATAGAAACAACGAGGGGGGGGAGAAGGAAGGAATGAGTTGGTATTGTTCCCTTTCTCTCCTCCTGGTCCCTTAACTAATCAGCACAACTCCCTTCTAACTGTGTCCCACAGGCTACCCGAGAGACATACACACACACACACTTACACACATAAACTACTGTATCCATGTTTCACTGCATAGTCAACCCTCCTGTGCAGTACACACACACTTCTGCGCACACACATATACACGGAGACTGCCTGCTGTGATTTCCATGACAACCATGCTGTCAAGCCACAGTTTGTGAGTGAAACTGATACCAGTAGTATGTTTAAGTTGGAGTTTCTCTCATCTTCCCTTTTTCCGTCGCTGTCTATTTGCTGTTCTGACAAAGGCGCCTGATTAGCACTGTCGCCTACGATCAAAGACAGCTGCAAAATGGCTATATGCACTCACACACACACACACACACACACACAATACACTCACAGCTGTACAATGTATAAACGTGTCCATGCTTTAATATGCATGTACATATACAAGCACCCACATTCTCAGAAATGCTGTATATACACGCTGGGTGTCTTAATTCAGGAAAGAGATGTAACTGAAAAACAAGGATGAAGAAAACGTCGCTTTGATCTTAGAAATGAATCCTTTCCCTCTCTCTCCTTCTGTCTGTGTATGTCTGCTTGTCTCTGATGTGCAGTGTATAACTCTACCTCTCTTTGTATTCCTCTCTTTCTGTCTCTCCTCAGTATCAACAGTAAAATGTCATTGATGAATCAAAAGAGGGCAGAAAAAAGTATTTCACAGATTCGCTAGGGACATCAAACATAATTTTTTAAATATTTTTTATTAAGAGAAAGGAAACTAAAATTTCAAAAGTGTTTTTAGTAATTGCAAGACTGAGCATGAAATAGAAATTGGTTAATTGATCAAGAGAGATCAGATTAGAAGGGATGAAACTACAGGTTGTTTTTTCAAAGTTTTTATTGATCAAGTAATTATTCAGGATCAAAATTGCTGTCATTTGTCCCTTTCGGTGTACTACTGGTTAATTGTCATTGATAAATTACAGACATTATGCTAGATTGCATTATATTCATCTGTTTTTCTTTAAAACAGGCAAGAGATTGATGTAGATGTATGGATATTAAAAACACAACAAGGGAGCTAAAAAGCAAATAATTAGGCGAGGTTCTGAAAATGCAGACTCTGAATACTAACTAAGGTTTATGTGGAAAAACAAGTCACACACACAAATGATAATGTTGGTCTGCTGTGACATTGTGCCATTACTACTCTATCTGACTTCATCTGCCCTATTGAAGTGACCTGACTCTGACTGCTGACCTTCTGGCAGAGAAGACAAGCAGATATTATTTTACAATACAACAGGATTAGTTTTGTTGTCAAAAGGTGATATGACTTACAGTGCTTACTACTGATATGGATTTCTAATATTAGCTCAGTCTGCGAGTCCTGTGGTTGGAGCCCATCCAGGCAGTTGGCAGCTTGTCAGACCAAAATGAACAGCAGCAAATAGGGTCAACTAGAAAAACACTTCAAGCCAAAGAAAATGTTTATTTTATCCGTCATAGCAGAATAAAATGTTTTATTTTTTCAATTACTGATTTTTTAACATTCTTCTCAGACCTCATGTTTGTGTCTCTGCCCAGAAGCCCTTAAATGAATAGTAAAGATTGATACCACTCTCATGACTGCATGCTAAACATCAAGCTACAGCCATCAACCAGTTAGCTTAGCTTAGCACAAAGATTGAAAACTCAGGGAAACTGCTAGGTAGAAACTACTAGCTTTTTTAAAGAGCAAGGTGAAGTGACGGAGTTGCTATTAACAACTACACCGCTAGACAACACAAAATCCTAGGCACTGGATCTCAAGGCAAGGTGAATAAGCTTATAAACTTGGAGTTACTATTATAACTTTGTCCAATAGGTAACAGCTTTTGCAGTATGTACTGTATGTAAATAATACACTAAATATGTCTTTGTCAGTTGTCTCAGTTTGTTGTTGTTCATTGTCTGATAAGCTGCCAGCAGGTTCTCAGATCTCTGACAGCATGGCTTGCTGAACTAATGCCTATGCATCCGTATCACCAGGGACTAAATTTAAACCACCTTATGTCTGTCCCTTTAAACTAGCAATAACAGATTTTTTAGCCACGGAGGAGCAACTGAAATAAGCAGGAAACACAACACTGACATATTACCACTATTGTCGAGTTGAAATGAAAAACTTGTTAACAAACTTATATATTTTCACGTCCAACATACACAAGGCAATTTGAACACTCATACAGAGTCGTGTGTCTGGCCAAGTCCAATTTTCACTCTTCTTTAGCTCTTTTTTTGGTCAAACTGAGTGAAATATATGGCTCTTTAGCTGCTAAATCAACTATGTTCTCCAGCTAGCAGTTGTTTGGCACGAACTCTTTCACATTATACGTAGTGAGTCTGTCCGTTGGTATTCTAAACTATTGATTTTAGCTGCTTTAAGTACAGGTTGGCCGGAGCCAATCCCAACTGACATTGGATGAAAGGCAGGTTCTTAACAGTTTGACCTAAATGATTTCCGAAAGCTTACATGGCTAACTCATAGAATTACTAGGCATTACTATGTCCTCACTGAATTTGAAGTCAGTATATGGTATCTGATTCTCACAGCTGATTTAGCTCAAAGGTGATCGCTTCAACAGCTCTCTCTTTGTTTTCCAGTCTCCTGATAACCCGGTTGTGTTTGTTTCAAGACTACATTGTGTATTCCTACACATCTGATTCACTTACTGTGTAATCCTCCATCCTTGCCTCATCGCCTTGTGCACACGCCTCTTTGACAGTATGTCAAGAAATCCTCAGATCCTCACCGTCTGTTAGGATCTGAAAAGTCTTGTAGTTTTTTCACATTGACTGTCCAAGCCCCCCCCTGCCTTCATGCAGTCCGCATGTTTCTGTCCATACATCCTCATCCAT